CTGAGATCAACTCCAAATGCGTCTATTCTTGACTTTGCTTTCAGTCTTGTCCTCAGTCTCCATGGACCCTACCACAGTCTAAGTCAGCTTATGTCACTCTTCCACTCAAATCCAATGGCTTTTTATCCATACAGAGTATGGTACAATGTTCTTTAAGACTAACTGTGAACCCTGACTCCCAATATGCTTTTCTTTAAATACTGCAATCTTTCTTGTTAACTGTTCAGGGCCTTTGCATATGCTATTTGTTGCCTGGAGTGTTCTTCAGTGTTCTTTACTTAATGTATGGCTCACTTCTTTCCTACTTTAGGCATTTATGCAAAATTCCACTTCTCAGCAAGGCTTTCTTTGGCTAGGGATCTAAGCTTAGTATTCCTAGCCCACTGTGTGATTTTCTTCTCTAGCATTTAACTTAGCATGTCACATGATTTGCTTATTGATACTGTCTCTCTAGCTTTACAAAGCAGAAATTTTTATCTGTGTATCTTTTCTATCTAGGGTAGAAACTGGTACATAGTGTAAAATCAATAAAAATTAGTTGAATGATTGAAAAGAATGGGTGATATACATGTTATAAAAAATAGGGACTTAAAAGTATGACTAATGCAGGTGTAAACTGAACATATAAAAAATTACCATGTATTTTCATATCTCTCCTAAGACTAGATTTTATTTCTACTTTCTTTGTAACATGAAGCCTTTGTTAAAGCAAGGAGGGTTTCATGTAGCACAGACTGGCCTGGAACTGGATGTGTGGCTGAGGATGACCCTGACGTCTGATTTTTTTTTGGTTCCACTTCCCAAGTGCTGGATTCTGGGCATGTGCCATCATGCTTGATACAACATGAAGCTTCATGAAACCTTAGACGTGAGTGTTCAAGAAGAAAGGATAATGATAAACACAGATGGGTGTTACACAATGTCAGCTGGATGAGCTAAGGAGTTTTAAGAGTATTACTACATAGAGCTTTCTACACATAGAAAAGTAAAATTAAAAATTAAAAAAATGCTCATTGATTGAATTAGCAGTGTCTGGCACACAGCAATATATAAAGTGAGTTGGATGCCTTCCAAAAAGGCTTAGTGAAGCAGTTTTACTTCTAAAGTAATTCTATAGTACAGGCATGGTGTCTAGGCTGGCTGCATTAAAGGCAGGAATAAAATGAGAGTAATGAAGTAATGAAGATACTATTTTTAGATCTGAAAATCTTTAGTTATTCTTTATCAGTGTTCAAGATAAACAGTGAGTACAGAGACTACAAATTTCCACATGGACTTTACACAAAAAGGCAGTATTATTGGTCTGTTAGAGGCAGAATGATTGGGAGGAAAGATCCATCTGGGAGTCCTGGGTTCCAGCCTTCACTCTGCCTCTGACTGGCTGTGTCATCAGAAGTGAGCTACTTAAGCTCTTGGTCACCTTATATGTAAATGTGAGTGAGGGTGGACTGAAAGGACCCACAGGTTCTCTAAGTGATAGTGAAAGATTATTTCACGCTTATATACAGTATGAGTAAAATGTTCTTAAAAGATTCTCATGGTGTATTTTCTCCAATTTAGAAATATATTTTATACAGCAAGGGAGTACTTAGATAGTGAATAGCCAGTAAGATATAATAAGAGCAGGAGATTATCTTGAGTTATTTAGCTGGCATCAATGTGAAACAAGGGATCTTAGAGTGCACATGGACTGAGTTAGGCTGATGCTATATGAGAAAGGCACAACCAGCCACTGTTTGCTACTAAGATGAAGGGGACTTGACTAAAGAAGTAACAGAGAACTATAAACATTAAGAAAACACCCCCCAGAAAGGAACCTCACCTCCTGACTCCTTGATTTTAGCTTAGTGATTACTAAGCCAGACTTATGCTTAAGTCAATCAAATCTATGGAAAATTGTTTTGGCAGTAGTAGGAAACTAATATAACTATGATACATATTTAACAAACAGAGACAGACCAAATTTTATGCAGGGTTCTGAATAAAAACAAGATATTTTTGTAGGCTTAAAAAAAAACAGATCATGAAAAATTTTAAAGAAAAATCTATGGAAATTAGTATTCTAGGGAATAGTTTTTAATTAGTGACTCATATGAAAGATAGTAATTCAGTTATTTTATAAAGAAAATTAGGACATTTATGGAAGTTTATGAACATTTATTAAGTTATGGAAACTTACATTATCTATAATGTAAGTTTCTAGGCCCTGGCTTACTTATCTATAAACTGACAGGCTAGGATCAATAGCTTCTAAAATTTCTCTACTTTGAAATTTTAAAATATTGACATAAAATTAGCCTTTGCCTCTGATTATCCCTCATACCCTAAAGTCTGAAGAATAATTTTAGAAGATAGTAGACTGGCTATAGTATGTGATGGTCAAGCTTCTCAGAAGGTGGTAGATTGAGCCTAGGACTTTGCACATGCTAAACATGTACCCGACAACTAAGTAACAACCTCTAAACTTTGTATGTTCTTGATGAAACTATTTCTAAAGTTAAATATACCCCCTATATTTTTTAGAAAAGATTTATTTTATATATGTGAGTACACTATACTGATGCTGTCTTCAGATACACCAGAAGAGGGCATCAGATCCCATTACAGATGGTAATGAGCCACTATGAGGTTGCTGGGAATTGAACTCAGGACCTCTGGAAGAGCAGTCAGTGCTCGGCTATCTCTTTAGCCACCATACTTCCTACTTTGATATAAAACAAACACCACATTTTATCTTTTCTTCAAGAAGCACCACTGGGATTACGGTAATCAGGATGGGCTGTAAGAGGACAACAGCCTACACATAGGGACCTATAGACAGGGTCTATAGCTTTCTGTAGCACTTGGGAGATAGGGATGATGAGATGGTTTGCATATGCTCAGCCCAGAGAATGGAACTATTAGAAGGTGTGGCCCTGTTGGAGCAGGTATGTCATTGTGGGTGTGGGCTTTAAGACCCTCATCCTAGCTGCCTGGAAGTCAGTATTCTGCTAGCAGCCTTCAGATGAAGATGTAGACCTCTCAGCTCTGCCTGTACCATGTCTGCCTGGATGCTGCCATGTTCCCGTCTTGATGATAATGGACTGAACCTCTGAACCTGTAAGCCAGCCTCAATTAAATGTTGTCCTTATAAGACTTGCCTTGATCATGTGTCTGTTTACAGCAGTAAAACCCTAACTAAGACAAATGTCTTTTCACACTTCAAAATGTGAGCTGCCAAACTTAAAACATTTACTATCTGGAGCTTTACAGGAAGATGTACTGACTTTTCCCCTAGAAACATATACATGAGCCTCTTCACCAAAGGTCTCCAACTATATTGTCTGCCATTACAGAAAATCATGGCTGCCTTGGCATAACTTATGACAAGGTAGCAGCTCAAACATCTCTGAAGCAGTAAAACTTAGAATTCAGAGACAGACTTGGTGCTGTAGGCCTGTAATCCTGGCTACAGCAGGATAGCAAGGCCAAGTGCCTGAGTCACATGGTACAAGCTGAGCACCGGGAACTTAGTGAGATTCTGACTCAAATGATAAAAGGAAAGGCTACAAGGGCAGTTCATTAGTAAAGTGCTCACTAGCTGAGTGAGGGAGCTGAGTTCACTATCCAGCACCACACACAGAATTATGTAAGGCTCAATTATTTGTAGCTCTTTTGTTATTGTATAAAAATGATTTTTTACTTTTAACTTTGTGTATATGTGTGTAGGAAAGCAATGCACTTGGAGCTGTGGGGTCCCCTGGAACAGGGGTTACAGGTAGTCGTGATCCAATGCTCTTAACTGTTGAGGCCATCTCTCTAGTCCCTACAATATAGCAAGGTTTTTGTCAATTACACTTGCCTCTCCAGTTTCCTTTTTAAATCTTTTATGTTGTATTTGGTAATCTGAAAACAAACACTTGTCTTGTCTGTCTGTCTGTCTGTCTGTCTGTCTATCTATCGTGTACTTATGCATTACATATGTAGTGCCCTTCCATCACACTGGGCTCCAGGAACTGAACTCAGGGCATTAGACTTAGTCAAGCACCTCCTAGCCATCTGGATGAGTCCAATAACAATTTATATATGTTTTAGGCAAGACTAAGTTGGATATATGAGGACCCTAGAGCTGTTTTTAAAGTAGATATAGGTAGTTTGGTGCAAGGACTTGGTTGTTTTGATAACCCCAAGGCCTTATTTCAAAGTTCTCTGCTATCTTTTTGGAAAAAAAAATTTGGGACCGATGACATTATGTTTCTGAGAAATACAATTATTAACATAAACAGAATTAGATGACCTGTTTTTTGAAATGCCTGAATTATTTTTTCTACAATGTATGTTGCTTTTATGCTTAGAAAGCCGTAGTCTGTTTTTCATAAAAACAGACTACAAAGCAGAAGGATCTTCCCTACAACCTCTCTGACCTAACTCAACCATTCTCATTTAGCATTAGTTGATCAGTCTTTTTAGTGGCTATTATTTTCATGTTTATTTGTGTGGAGCTTTTTTTTGTTGTTGTTATTTTGAATTCACACTTGGGTTTGACACAAAGGTTGACCTGTGGTTACAGTCCTACATAGAAGTAAACTGTAAATATGGAACACTGCAGGAATGCCAACAATCGACTGAGTGAAAAAGTGTTTGCCTCAATGCCTTGTTTCGAATGTGTTCAAGGGTCTGGTGGACAAAACACTTCTCATGCTCACAACCCTGTGAGTATGTCACATTCTCAGAGGTTAAAACGTCATGGGGCAGCCTGGCCAAGGAAACAGGGGCAGGTGTTTGGGGGCGCCAGGGGTGGGGGTGTCTTTAGAAGTATCAAAGCTTTCATTCAGCGTCCCCCCACCCCCGCCCCGCGCCCTACCCACGTCCCTTCCCGTCATTGACCTCCACAAACTTGAATTCTGCCTTTCCACCTCAGAAGTTGTGCTGTGGGAACCTGAAGCTTACAGCAAAGTTCCATGGTGGGCACCCAGTGTGGTTCGCCCTCCCGAGATCTTGCGCTGCGGCCCCGCACTAACCTGACCAGGTCGGTCATGCAGGAACCCACCACCACCACCGCTGCTGCCTCCTTCTCCTCCTCCTCCTGCCAGGGCCTCCCGGGCTCCCCAGACGCCGCCATTACTAATCCTTGCTCTTGCTCAACCCGGACGCTGCCCTTTGCCCTTTGCCTGACCCCGTAACCAAGGACGCCGCTCCGTTCTCCCTAACGACGCAGGCGTTCCACACGCCTGTGCGGGTCGCCCAACCTAATGCCCGAAACCTCCCCGGGTTTCGGCTAGTCCTGGTTCCTCTGGGACCCGTGTTCCTGCCCCGCCTCACGGCACAGGGCCCAGCCGCCACGGCGAGAATCACAGAGCGCGCCACGCTCGAGGCGGGAGCTCCGGGAAACCTTCAGGCGCTACCCGGCCGCCTTCCTCAGCTTCCGGCTGGGCTCGGCGCGGGGACGCGCACGCCCGGCCGGCTCCGGAGAGGGCGGGACGTCCGGGGGAGCGCGCACGCATCCGGCCCGCGGTTCGCGCGCAGGTCGGTGCGTCGGTCGGGGGCGCGCTCGGGTAACCTGTACCCTGTCTAGTCGCCGGTTACTGATCGGACTAAGTTCCAGGTACCTGGACCCGGGCTGGTGCGGGGAGGTTGGATCTCAGTCGCACAGGTGGCACAGAGAGCCATGTTTGAGTATGGCCAGAGAGCTAGCCTCTTCAAGAGAAGGCCCGCGTTCCAAAGATGCCCCGCTCGCCCCACAGCACGCGGATTCCCTCAAGAGCCGGCCCCCAAGATCCGAGGCTTCTCTTTCTCCACGTATCTCTTTCAGTCCTGGTCCCTGTTGAAGCCCGCCTCTTTTTGCACTTGATGAGAGGCATCATACAATTTGGGAGAAAGGGTTGGATCCCTTTAGATTTTCCTCAGGATGGGTGGCTATTCTTTGGATCTGAACCAATTCGCTCTCCCCGCCCCTCTCCGATGTTGCCCAGTGGAGAAATTGCTCCCCCACAGTAACTTCCCTCGTGCGCCATATGACGTGGACGTGATGCAGCAGGAGGCCACCCCTTTCCGTTCCATGACGTCAACGGGGGCACATGTTTCCGTGTTTGTCATCCTCTCCTAATTGCAAGAGCCTGGATGGTGCTTTATACGTCTTTGTATTCCCTAGACAGCCCGCCCACTAAAAGACCTCATGTGACCTTATCTTGCGGCAGCAGATTTTTATAAAAATTATATATTTGCATCTTCCTTCTGCAGTACGTCAAAATCAGGAAATACAAATTGCAAAGCAAGCATCCAAGAGAGGCTGGTCACCAAAAATTCCTGCCTCTCTGGGATCTGTTATAATGGTGCCATATGTAAAGGAGAGGTGTGTGTGTGTTTCCAATCCATATCCTTGCATATTGTACCAAAGAATTATTTTTTTTTTCTTTTCAAATTCCTGGTTTTGGAGTCAGTATAGTTTTCTCTCTTTGTTAGTGAAGTTACACTTACTGAAACATCTTGAAGCTGCACAAAACTTCGCACTGTCAAAAACTTGTATCATAGCTGTTATGGAGATAAAGACAGAAATCCATTCCCTCAGGTGTGATCCTAAAGTCTTGACAGTTGCTGAAGTGGAATGAGTTTTCATAATCACTACTGTGGTTTGGCATCTGGAGAAGCTTGTTTCCTTTGGCATTTAATTAGTGAATCATTCAGGCTCGAACCGATGCTGGGGCAGCAGGAGCCTAGTTGGTGTCTAAGCTATAAAGCAATCATATGTATAAATTCGTGACTTTTGTCTTCATATTTACCAAAGTGCATGCTTTAAAAATTCACCTTGATGCTTTCTTTAGTGGCCACTGTAATTAATGCTTGAGAGGATGATAGGAATAGTGGACTTTGAGAGAGATCTGGATTTGAATTCCAATCCTGTTTATTCTTTGTGTGACATTAAATAAGTAACTTGGTCTGGCTGTTCTTTAGCTTTTGAATTTACACAATGGAAACAATATTCATTAAGAAACTGTGTGTGTGTGTGTTTGTGGAAGTGGAGAGAGAGGTAACAGAGAGCTCAGGTGTGATGCCCTAATTTGGTTTCTCTTTCTTCAAGAAATTTGGGGTAAAATAGGTGCTCTGAGAAAAAAAAGCATGGAAAAATTTTTGTCATAAGAGATCCTTCTGCTTTCTTCTCAGATGACTGTGTGTTTTGAATGTGAAGTAAATGAACATCCCTCTTAGGAACTGTGACATAGTGGGCAGACTATACCAGGACTGCACTGTTTAGAAAAGTCTTCAAAGTGATCCTGTGGGTGGACCTACTGTTCAGAAACAGTTACCCACGTCACCTGGAAAATGGCAATTAGAAACCTGCCTTATACCAGGCTGTGAAAATGAATGATAAGGCCACATATGGAAGTTCCTTATAAGTCATGCGATGCTATAAAATATATGTATTTTTATGATAGATACTATATATAACAAAGGAGACATTTGCTCATGTTAGATGTATTAGAATGTCTGGGGAGGCCAGCTCCCAAGAGTCAGAAGACAACCACGTAGAGACTAAAGTATACCTTAGAAAGGTTAAGCACCTCACAAGTATTTCTGGGGGCATCATGGTATCACTGTGTTTTTTTTAAACTATCTAAAATGATAAAGCGAATGTTCAGTTTAGCGGAGCTTGTAAACTCTTATGTGGCACAGTGTTTAGAAACCAGAACCAGAACAGCAGGTACTCATAATTGTACTTGGATGGAAATGAATTTGCTTTCAATGTGGGATTAACCCTTCAGATTGAGAGAGACAATGATCATTTGAATTGACTTATTCACCTCTGAAGTAGTAACTTTCATCTAGAAGTCTATTAGGAATTCATGCAGTCTCTCCTCCAGCTCCGTGAATATCCAAGTATCACAGATGTGATTTATTGCTTCTGTATTATCAAGTATAAAGACTTCATAGTGCCAAAAAATCTAAGACTGAAAAGATTCAATTTGTTTTGTTGCTTAATATCTGGACATGCCTTAATAGCTGCCCTGTGTTTTTATAATTTAAGTGTCAAGTTCCTCAGCTTCTGCTGTAGTTAATTCCCTATCATTTGTGCGTATGTGTGTACATGGTATGTCTGTGTGTGCATGTGGTGGATAGAGGTCAGTGTTGAGTATCTTCCTCTATCATCCTCGACCTTACGTTTAGAAACAGGGCTCTCACTGACGGTGGGCTTCGCCATTTTGGCTAGACTGGCTGGCCAGTGAGCCCAGGGAATCTCCCGAGTTGACCCCCCAGTGCTGGGGTTAAAGGTGTGTAACACTAGGCTGTCACACAGCTGCTGGGGGTTGAAGTAGCGCATGCTCGGGACTCACTGAACCATTTCCTCAGGGCCTCCACCTTATCAGATTTTGAGGTATATTGTATCTTTTCCATCGCTAAATTCTTCTTCAGCTTTGCTCCCCTTATTCATCTCTTTAAAGTTATTTTAAAATTAATTTATTTATTAAATCTCTTATTTGAAGCCATATTCTGAGCATGGGTCTTGGGTCTGGGCCAGGCCAGAATCCATAGTCCTGGCTAGTACTTAACAAAGCTTGCTTCAAATTTGGCCCAGAAAAAAAATACCTTTATTTGAATTTACCATTTTTATTATTAAATATTACTGAATACTAAGTGTATGTTAACTGCATTTGTTAAATGTGAGAATTTCAAGTTATAGTCTTTGTTAGGGAGAGTTAATATAATCAGGTAATTAATTATAATGCACCGTGGAAGGACATATTAAGAAAAGTATGTGGGCTGTAATGATTTCTTGTAAGTAACAATTGATTGTATTTGCTTTAGAGTGTTGTATGTTATCAGTGATCAAGCTCTTTGTCCTTGTGGGGATACAGGTGGGGTCCCTGACTTAATGATGTGTGTTTTGTGTGTTATGGTTACAGGACTGTTAGTGAACCTTCTCCAGCTCAACCAGACAGTTGTAGCATGCAGCCATGCAGCTTTAAGCAGACTGAGCTAGTGTGGGGACTGTGTTTGGAAATGAGGAGGCAATTGTACTTAAAGGGTTCCTTTCGTTCCTGAAAGGCATGGCACAGCCCATGCCCTGAGTATCTGAGCTGCAGGGATCTGGCTCCTGGAAGACTGAAGGAAGAGGTGTTACTGGATCATAAAGCATTTGCTCATATAAGAGAAAATTCTGAGCACTGTGCTAACTTCCAGGAAGCTTGTTATAGCTATATTTCTATAAGGTTTTTTTTTTTTTGTTAAACTGATCACCTTTCTTTCTTTCTCTCTACTTTCAGTGGTAACTCATAATCAAGTTAAAATGTCTCCAGAAATTGCCTTGAACCGAATTTCTCCAATGCTCTCCCCGTTCATATCAAGCGTGGTCCGAAATGGGAAGGTGGGACTAGATGCTACAAACTGTTTGAGAATAACGGACTTGAAGTCTGGGTATGTACCAGAACTAGCTCAACTTTTATCTCACAGTAAGCCTTTCTTACCAGATTCATGAAAAATGACCATCATAGGAAGCTTTCAGGTCATGCCCTTACCATCCACTGATGTGTGTGTGCAAGTGCGTGCGTGTGGTGTGTGTGTGTGTGTGTGTGTGGGTGTGTGTGATATTAAACTCAGGGCCTCACACATGCTAGACAAAACTTGACCACAGAGACACATTCCAGTGCCAAATTCATTTGGCTTTGTTTAATTCTTGACATTTTATGCTTCTTATTTCATAAGAGTGTGTGTCCACATGCAGGCATTATGGGCACTTTATTTCTAACGGGAACGCTAATATATTTTTTTCTGACTTATCTCTTTGTGACTAACATTCTATATGGGTTTTAGCATGTATGTTTTCCTTCATTGGCTTGCTTTCTTGTTTACTGCAATCTAACATACACTGTAAGAATTGGGTTTAGTGATGCTGAGTCTGATATCATTTGATAATCTCCCTTAATACAAAAATTACAGTAGCTAGTTGAAATGAGTCACAGTGGGGTTGAAACATTCAGTCTCACACCTGGATATGTTGTGTTAAAAACAAAAATCCCCAAACAGACCAATTAAAAAAAAAAGAAAGAAAAAGGAAGTGAAATAACCTGCCTTAAATTTCATTTGGAAATAAAATGAGATCCACAGAAAAGTACTATAGGAAATTGCAGTAGTAATCTTGGTAGTCAGTTGACAG